ATACATCTCTGTAATTATCAAAGACCCAAGGAAATCATTCTCATTGAAGCAAAGTCTAACATTCAGTCAAATTAAAGATTAATAAGGCCTAACTAAAATTCTGCTACTCAGTCAAAATTTTTCTGCACTATTATTCAAACAGTTAGTTGTTTCTTGTGATACTGACAAATATTTTTATCCATGTCTCAAACACATTTATGACAAATTTTATTATCAAATAATAAAAGGATTAAAATCAGTAACTTATAAGTCATAACATCCTTCACACAGTTGAAAATGGCATCACGATGTCCTTCTCCCTCAAGAACGGGACCCCGTATTTCTTTCAGCACTTCTGTGTAAGCATCCAAAGCTCTCATAACAACACTCCTTTCCTCATCTGTATGGATCAGCTCAGCACACTTGGGAATCAGCATTGAAAGAGCTTTGGAAACAGCTGCACATAAAAACATTTCAACAACTAAATGCATGAATTCAACTCTTAAAGTACCAGCCCCAATTTAAAGATAAAAAGTACTGCATTTGTTATATTTTTCTTTGGTAGGTAAGGATAGGTGAAGTGAGTTAGGTTAAATTAGTTTAATTTAGGTTAGGGTTTTGCCTTCAAAAGCAGCAAAACTTCCAAACAGATATCCAAAATGGTAGACATGTACAATTCATGCTAGCTCTTCATACACTTTAATTTTACTACTGATCTAATCAATCTTAGCACTACAGGGATTAAAATAAGCAATACACGAACATTAGCAGAAGGGCCCAATGACATGAAAACATTTTGTACATATGGTTCCCATTTGAATGTTTCTTTTTACAGTGTTCAGAAGTCCACAGATTTACAGTATTTGTGTCTTGTCATAGAGGCAAACATTTATTCTGTGGTGCAAGAAGGGCTATTCTGGTGAGTAGAAAGGAAACATATAATAGGGATTTTGCCTTCTGCTTAGCACTCCCTCAGACAAAGGCCATTTGCAGCTTTCTGGATACTTAATATATAAAATATTTCAATACTCCTGTCTTACTTTCTGTAGGTAGTAACATGATGCATCTGTAACAACCAATTTCCAGTTTATCTTGTGTTTAAATAAGCATTACGAAGTAAGACAGGACAAAATACTATATATATGACAAATATACTCAACAGGTATGCTGTCAACAAAGCTCACAATTACAATCACATACCTATCCTACATTCAGGGGTTTGTATGCCATTCAAAGTGATACAGAACTGACAAAGAGCATCTACAGCAGCTTTACGAATGTCTTCATATGGGTAGTTAGTCATTTTAAACACATCTTCAAAACTATTCTCCAAGTACGGTATAAAAGTTTCTCTGAAAAGAAAAACAAAATACAATGAAAGTATAGTGCGTATAACAATGAGATTAGGTATATTCCCTACAATGATGCATACTCACCCACAATTTTTAGCAATCTCTGACAAAGCTCTGCATGCCTCTTCCTTTTCTTCCATATCAGCACTATGAATACAGTAACCTATAATGAAATCAACATTAAAACAAACTACAAGCTTACAGTATCTTTTACAAGACTTCACACATTTCTGAAAGCACCAATGGCATGCTCAGCGCAGTACAACCCATACAGCCATGTTTTTATTTTCCCAAGGTTCCTGACAGGCCTTCTGTACTACTGCAGAAGTGCCAGGAAGTAAGTTCCTGCTCTACTTTGTCCTATCAGGCAGTTTCCTTCTATTGCAAAGACATGGGGTTGAATTTTGAAATGAAAGACATGTCCTTACCTAATGTAGCCCGTAAGATGAAACAAACTCAAAATGGCTCATAAAAAGTCTACCATACTTAGTATGATCAGTCAAGTGGTTTAAGAGTTGTTATTTGCATGCATACAGACAGACATACATGGTTAAACTTAAAAAGAGTTCTCAATATTTTATTTTAAACTGATACATATTCTTGGATATTTTCCTTTGTCCCCTTTCTCCAGCTGACCACTCAACCCCGAGTGCCAAGGCCAAGAATGAGACGGAGCAATACCCCTTGCTCCCCCCTCAACACCCCCATAGCATGCAGTGGGACATCTTTACTTTACATCCACTTCAATACAGTTCATGTTTTCACAACTTATTTCTCCATGAGACAAAACAAACAGTATTTAATTCAAGAAACTGGACTACAATTTCATAAAATACTTAGCATCATTGCAGAATATACTTTACCTGAAATATCTTCATCTTCAGATTCCTCAGACTCATTCTCAATATCTTCTTCATCTGGAGTGTCACTCAAATCTTCATATACAGCAATGGCTGAAGCCTCATCATCATTATAATGTGCCTCCAACAAACACAGTATTCATACATGAAATGCACTGTAATAGGTATTTTAATTCAAACTATCAGAAATATAAAAATGTGTCTTATCAGGTATACAATAAAAAGTAATTTAAATGTGAAATAGAATTTTAAATGTCAGTCCTTTATTCCATGAAAATTCTTCCTAGCAATCCAAACTGAAACTGACATGCCAGATTACACATTAATTACAAAGCATGTGTATGTGTAGATATTCTGTAAGACTGCAGAATTAGACATAATTATGTTTCTATGCTTCTAGATATCAATCCACAACATATTAATGGAGAATCTAGTTCACAAAGACGGACCAGAATGAATAAACAGTAGCAATAAATGTGATAACTATTAATGATGGAAACATTAAAGACAATCTCAATCCTCATCCTCAGGGCAAATCATGAGTAGCCTGTCGGTAAGTTTTAATCATCTGACATGGCTGATAATCTGAGATACTTTTATTAATTTCTCGAAACATAGATTAACTATTAACTTCTCAAGAATCCCAGAATTCCAAAATGTATCTCTTAGAGAAGATTCAACAACTTTTTATAGAGGCTATACTGGAAACTTCCTGACATGTGATGTGCCTGAACAAGAAATAAACATTATACATATGCAAAATGTGGCATGGCAGAATTGTTACTTACAACAATTCCATCTGAACTTCTGAGAGTATCCAACATTTTTTCAATTATAGTTGGCAGTACATTTTTCATGTCATCCTTCAGCACTACGGACAGGGCCCCAAACAAACCATAACAACTTTTGCGTAGCTTTGGGTCATCTGTTTTGCACAGGAGAGTCAGACCTAGATGGACAGTTTCTTGGGCTAGAGATGAGAAATGTTCTGCTCCTACACTTTGTGCCAGTACACCAAGAGTATCTGTGGGGTAATGTCAGACATTTTCAAGTTAGAAAGCACTCGCTTATATGTTCTTATTGTTCAGAGGACTTAATGTATAAACTCTGGTGCAGAATACCTTGACATTTGTACCTACAGACCTGTATTACGACAACTTGTGGGTGAGCATCCTGTTCTGGTTATTGCTAGGAAGAATCTTATCTTTACTGCCACAAAAAAACATAATTGAGTGTGAATTATTAACAATGCATTTACTGAAAATTCTGTTAATGTGAGCAGGTTGCTATATGTTTTGGCTATACATAGCCATCTTCAGGCTAATATAGAACTAGTTTTTGAAAACTACCTGCTGAATTGCTAATACCATATTTTCACAGTAAGATTAAATAAGGAATGATACCAAAATTTGCCTGGAAGGAATAGAGAAAAACAATGAAAACCCTCAATAACTGCTGATCCCCATCCACATAAACACAACTAACATGTAAGTGCAGTAAGAAGTGGTCCTTTTACAATTTTACAAAATGCATGGGAAATGATCAAACTGGCCTAAGCATAAGACGTGAACAGTAATGCATGATCTTGACAAAGGTCAAACGACTATTATCACACCAAATTATGGTACACTATCATATTCCTCAAAGGTGTTCCCACTTAAAGGAGAACATAACCGCTATGTTAATGGTAGAAAATTAAGAACAATGGCCTCTAAAGCAAGTCTTATGAAGTTTACTTATGTTTCAGAGGTGACTGCTGTCTCTGTTACCAGGATAATCTCACCTCTAAAACATAGGTTAACTTCTACTAAAGTACATAATACTACAATCCACAGACAGCCATCTTCATACTCACCACTGTGAGAACCTAAAATCGTAAGTGATTTGCTTCATAGATAAAGAGAAAAAAGATGTCAATCATGAAATGCCAATATCTAACAATAGTTGTTTCCTAACACACAGCACATTATATAGCTATGAACTTACCAAGTGACTGTGTTTGAAGACACATGATCTCCTCACTCACTTCCATAGTTAAATATAACAGCAAGCTTTCAATAATACAAGGGATATAAGGAACCATTCCACTCTTGGCAGCAACAGCTGTTGAGAAAACAATTTCCAGTTAATTTTGATGCACGCAACATTGCATGTTCAACAATAATTTGGTCTGTAGAACATGAGTACTTGATTAGTGGAAAACTAATTAACTTACTGAATAAGAAGGGGAGATAGAAAAATATGGTACAAATAAGACTACCCAAAAAGTGGGAAATTAACAGCAGTTAAACTACATTTACTATTAATATGTTCAAGCATTATAAAAACATATCTTCAATGTATAATATCTCACAGGAAAGCAATTAAATGTAGAGTTATTTGCAACAGTTGTCAACAGAAGCTCCATTTTAAAAGAAGTTAGATTTTATAGGAATTTTTAATAGGCTAGTAGCCTTGGTCATGAAAACAGGTCTTTACACTACTATTTATAAGAAATACCAACCTGCAGCTCCAATACAACTCAGTGCCAGTTCCCGAAGGTGAACACAGTTCTTTGGATTTAGTGCTGTGAACAGTCTGTCCATGAGGGTAGGCAAATATGGCAACAGTGCATCTGCCAGATTCTCACAGAACATCTCTAGTGCATAGAACATATGGTCTAGGCCATGGGGTTCTAATTTCTCTTGCAACTGGGAGCATACGCTTGCAAATTGATCGAAGAGCACAGGCAGAATTTGAGATGCATAGCAGCTAATATCAGGCTGTAATGAGGGCAGGAATTGAAAGAGTAATACAATGAAGCAATGAAGTCAGTCATAGCCAGATTTACAGTGCTCCTTATCAAGTTTATAACAGAATTCCCTACCATAACCAGCTCAAGCTAGGATAGCAACTAAGGAGTAAATATCAGAAGAAATTAAACCAACAACAAAGCACACACAAACCCAACCAGTCACTAAAACTCCAGGAAGTAATATGGAAGTCCAAGAAAATTAGTAATGACTGGTAATGAGCAGCTTATATCAAGTGTTTGTTTGTGCAGATGAGAATTTGTTGAGTGACAATAGAAATACCATGCAGCAATGTGGTTGCAATGATAATGTCCAGATATGATACTAAATATCAAGGTATTACAGCTCATTCCAATACTTCTGCCATCAGAGGCCTTTTGTGATATTCCTGTACTTCCAGGCAACTGCCAGTGTAGTACCTTAAAATAAACTGTTACCACATCCTTCAAGTTCTTTTTTGCAATCATCTAACCATTCAATGCTGCACAACCTAACATAAATTATCATTATCTAATCCAATATTCAATAAATTAATCAAATGCCCAGACTATGAGAAGTTTTGAATTCTGTAAATGTTTGGTGCATTACTGACTCTCATTGTGTGATGAGTTCAATTACCATAATCAAACAAATTAAAGAAAACTGACGTTAGATTATCTAACCTAGAATAGAGGTGTGAAGGGTTTACTCTGTGGTTTGAAGCTTACCTGTAGATGTTCAGAAAACTGCCCAAGGGCAAACAGAGCTGCATCCCGTACTATAGCAACTTGGTCAGTAATGCCTTTGCATATGCACTGAAGAAATGATTCAAGGTGTTTTGTACGGATACAATCACAACAACCTTCAACAACGGCTGCTAATGCCAGATAAGAAGCTTTCTTAGCATACAAATCTGTACCCTCAAGACCTCTCTGGATATGCTGCAGCTGCAAAAATAGATAGCATTATTCTTCTATTTAATCACACCATAAACTCT